AATGGAAAAGAGAGGAGAATGTGTGTCTTTTTTTTTCTATTATTCTCTTATAAGCATTCATCCTTCAAAAGAACAAAAGAGAAATGTACATATATTTTTGGTATCTGCAGTTTAAAATAAAATATTTGAAAGCTTATCTGAGTAACAAGTCTTTAAAACTGATAGTATATGTGATTTATTAATTTGAGAAGTAGAGAGTGCAGAGTTCTTTGGGATCATCGTCTTTAATTTCTTTTTAAAGTGAGTTATTTTTTAGGCAAGTTTTAATTTTAAATATATATAAATGTCAATATAATATCTATTTGGATTTGATTAACATAAAATATATAAATGATAAACTATGATTCATCAAAAATAATTCTGCTCTAGTTCTAATCATTTCAATTTTAGCAATCTCCATGTTGAAGGATGCAAAGGATTGTGAACTACCACCAAAGATAAAAGTAGAACTTCTGTCAACTTTTTTTTTCTAACCAAAAGAGAACAGAAGTATGTCACTAGTAATGTGCAAAAAGTGTTACATACTAAATCTATTTGATGTCATTTTCTCTTCTCTTCTCTGTTTTCTTGAAGTAAGAACCAGCCTTTAAATTTCGAACTTCAACTTATGGACCACAGATTAGCTTGACACTGTAATGTTTTATCTTGTTCACACACAGAACAGCATTACTTTCTGCCATTTTACAAATAAAATTGAAACTAAAAGACTGATATGTTAAGTCTTGAGATACTGTTTTGTCTTAACAAGACCAAAACATTTCTATGACATACTAATATTTTGGCCTCATCTTGATTTTGTGTGTATCTCAGTCTTGTCTTAGTCTTACTAGAAGTATCTTGTATTGATCTGCATTACTTTTTTTTAAGTATTTGGCATTTTATATCATTTTGTAACATTATAGATCTCTTTGGTACAAATGTTTTCCTAAAATGAAATTTATCTTGAATGTTTTAATCTAATCATAAGGAAAATAAAACATTTCTTATAGAGATTATAAATATTTTCAAACAAATTAATATTTGTTATTATTTTAGTTTTATAAATAATCAGTGCTAAAGAAATGGATTTTTTGTTGATCTGGTCATACAGAGAGCAGTCTAGTGTGGCAGTACTTTCCATCTTGACTTAATTATTTCTGAAGAAAAGTGTCTACTTTTCACAATAAAGTGTTTCTTTTTTATATAGTCTTTTTTGCTCTGTAAATTATATTTTATATATGGATTTTGTGAGATTTCACAAAATCCATATATAAAATATAATTTACAGAGCAAAAAAGACTATATAAAAAAGAAACACTTTATTGTGAAAAGTAGACACTTTTCTTCAGAAATAATTAAGTCAAGATGGAAAGTACTGCCACACTAGACTGCTCTCTGTATGACCAGATCAACAAAAAATCCATTTCTTTAGCACTGATTATTTATAAAACTAAAATAATAACAAATATTAATTTGTTTGAAAATATTTATAATCTCTATAAGAAATGTTTTATTTTCCTTATGATTAGATTAAAACATTCAAGATAAATTTCATTTTAGGAAAACATTTGTACCAAAGAGATCTATAATGTTACAAAATGATATAAAATGCCAAATACTTAAAAAAAAGTAATGCAGATCAATACAAGATACTTCTAGTAAGACTAAGACAAGACTGAGATACACACAAAATCAAGATGAGGCCAAAATATTAGTATGTCATAGAAATGTTTTGGTCTTGTTAAGACAAAACAGTATCTCAAGACTTAACATATCAGTCTTTTAGTTTCAATTTTATTTGTAAAATGGCAGAAAGTAATGCTGTTCTGTGTGTGAACAAGATAAAACATTACAGTGTCAAGCTAATCTGTGGTCCATAAGTTGAAGTTCGAAATTTAAAGGCTGGTTCTTACTTCAAGAAAACAGAGAAGAGAAGAGAAAATGACATCAAATAGATTTAGTATGTAACACTTTTTGCACATTACTAGTGACATACTTCTGTTCTCTTTTGGTTAGAAAAAAAAAGTTGACAGAAGTTCTACTTTTATCTTTGGTGGTAGTTCACAATCCTTTGCATCCTTCAACATGGAGATTGCTAAAATTGAAATGATTAGAACTAGAGCAGAATTATTTTTGATGAATCATAGTTTATCATTTATATATTTTATGTTAATCAAATCCAAATAGATATTATATTGACATTTATATATATTTAAAATTAAAACTTGCCTAAAAAATAACTCACTTTAAAAAGAAATTAAAGACGATGATCCCAAAGAACTCTGCACTCTCTACTTCTCAAATTAATAAATCACATATACTATCAGTTTTAAAGACTTGTTACTCAGATAAGCTTTCAAATATTTTATTTTAAACTGCAGATACCAAAAATATATGTACATTTCTCTTTTGTTCTTTTGAAGGATGAATGCTTATAAGAGAATAATAGAAAAAAAAAGACACACATTCTCCTCTCTTTTCCATTCTCATGAAGTTGAACCAGCCTTAAATGTCCTGAAAACATTCTAAACTTTCTAAATTTTAGCTTCCTAAATATTATATCAATAATTTATTTCTGAAGCTTTTTCCCTAGTATTATATGAAGAATTTCTTTAAAATTTATTCTAATAAAAGAGTTTTTAAATTTAAACAGAAATTTTGATAATTGCATTGTTTATACATTAATAAAGTCTGTAAAGAAATTATACATACACTTGAAATTAGTGTATAACTTCACATAATATTTATTGATACTAATTTAACAATTAGTAAACTCATTATAATAAATAATTACTTAAATACATCATATTCATAAATAAAAATATTTAAATTTCTGAGTGATGAATTAATACAATTGCAACCAGATCTGTTGTAAAATAATTATACATACAGTGTGTATTACATATAATTGAGTATACTTAATAAGCAATGTGCAAATTAAAATGCCCATTTATGCTCTTTCACATAATAATTGTATCATTATGACTTAAGTTTTTACAAAATGCCACAAGGAAAAGAAGTGAGAAAAATCTTTTTGTATCATGGGCAAGGAAAGTCTACCAATGCCATTGCTGCTAGTTTGTCATAAAAAATGTCTCATTAGACAGTAACTAATGTTTTCAAAAATAATGATAATGTTGCCTATGATAAACTCAAGGCAAAACCTAAGCTTACAAATGACCTCAAACAAAACAGATTAGAATGGGCAAAATCAGCAATGAGTTGGAAAAATGCAATGCTTTCAGATGAAAAAAGTTAATCTGGATGGACTAGATGGTAATAGGTATTATTGGAATGATTTAAGAAAGCAACCAAAGGGACATTTTAGCAGACAAGTGGGAGGTGGTGGAATCATGGTTTGGTCAGCATTTGCTTTTAATGACAAAAACAGATATTATCATAATTAATTAATTAATGATAAAATAACTTCGGAAAATATCAAAATATGTTATTTGAACAACTTATTCCATTTGGCCCACTAATTGAGGAAATGAGTTGATATTTCAGCAAGACAATGTTTTCTGTCATGTATCTAAATCCAACAAAAACTGGTTTAAATAACTAAAAATAGATGTAATGGACTGGCCATCACGTAGTCCAGACTTAAATCCCATAGAAAATATGTGGGCAATGCTTTCTCAAATGGTCTATGTCCGCATTCCCCAACCTTTAGTCTATCTCGAGCAAATTAAGAATTTAAAAATTTTAGGTGAGTCACACATGGGACAATAACCTTTTTTTTTTTTTTGAAAAAATCAGCAANCCGAGTTTCTTAGTGTTTTTCATTCAAGAGTTCTTGGCGTTCTTCTGTCGTCAGATCCGTTTCCGGTTCCATTATGAACTCTTCGATGTTCTTTATTTCTCAGATGTGATTTTTGTTACTCCTTTAGCTGCTTGAGTCTTCTTGATTATACAGTATTTTTCTTAGATAAGATTGAACTGCAACCTATTGTAGACCTGTTCACGCCAAACTGCCCAGCAACATTAGGTATCTTCTGCCCACTTTCTACCTTTGCTATTATACTCACCTTTCGAAAAGAAAAACAGATGCAAAACTTAACGTGTGCCTACCCGACAGTCTCGCAAATACATAAAAGAATTGTTTTGTCAGAAAAATAAAAGGCTGGAATTACAAGGGAGAGTTTCAAAGTTCGAAGAAATGCTATCCAATTGGTATATACCGGCTTGAGCGTCGATTTCGACGTCTCCCACACTCCGAAAAGTTTCGAATTGTTGCCCGAAGACAAGGGAAGACCAATCGATATTCATTATTTTACGTCGCTTCTTCTTGTTCTGTGGGGTGTTCGTTATCTGATCACATGTTCGTTGTCCGATCATAAAAATCTTTCGCGAAAGTGTTCGTTATCCGATCTGTTCGTTAACCGATCACCCACTGTAATTTATTTTATTGTTTTTGTAGCATTTGGGCTTTGTACCATTTCAGTCTTTGTGACTTAGCTGCTAGTTTGAGCATGTCAATGTATTCCTGTATAGGCACATTGTGTTGTTTGTGTTGTGTGTTTATTTTAATTTTCCTGATTATTTTCTTAATCTCTTTCATTATTAAGTTTGGTGTTATGTTGTTTTTAGTGTATTGTATCAACCTGCCTTTCTAATGTTTTGTATTTGTGTTTCTAGTCTTCTTTGCCCTGCTGGCTTATGATTTGTATTTGTTTTGACTGTGCCTGTTTGTGAATGTAGTTTAAACTACACTCACAAGCAGCCATGATATGTACTATAACTACAGTGATTGTATTAGAATACACTAATATATGCATGTCTGAAAGTATTGATTCTGGTTGAATGTGTTTTGGTAATGTTTGTGTGTATTTAGGGAGTGTAGTTTTCCTTACTTGTTTTGATGTGTATATTTTGGATATTTACAGTCTGTGTGCAGGTTTAAGCCTGTATATTTAGTGTGTATATCTTGAAATTTAAACTAAAATTTTGTTTTAGTTCACTTTGTCTAAATTTAAAGTTCAACAGCAAAATTATTTTGTATCTTTCATTTCATTTTACAGGTTTGAATCTATTAGAATGTGATTATCCTCAATTTGGCAGCTGGGAAAAAAGTCAAAAGAAGTTTACAGAAATATTTGAATCAAAAACACAAGAAGAATGGTGTAAAATATTTGATTATAAAGATGCTTGTGTAACTCCAGTTCTTTCAATGAAAGAAGCCCCTTTTCATTTTCATAACGATGCACGTAAATCTTTCACAAGTTTAGATGGGCAGAATTATTTTCCTCAGCCTGCTCCCATTTTGTCCAGGACACCTGGTGTTGTAGCTGAAAAAGAGCCATTATATGGTGAGCACACTATCGACATATTAACCAAAATCGGATACAATGACGATGACATAAAACAGTTCCTGAAAAATGGTGTAGCAATGTCTAATAATATTACTTCAAAATATTAATTTTATATATGTAATTGTAATTTGAAAAATATAATAGAATATAATATTTTGAAAATATTTATATTTTTAAACAGAATAATATATTTTGTTAATAATAATTGTAAAATGTTTTTAATTATTAAATTGTATTTTTTAAATAAATAATTGTGTTTGAAAATAAAAATATTTAAAACAATAATAAATAAACACTATTTACAGTTTCTTAAGCAAATATTCTTTAAATAATAATTTCTTATTTTGAAAATTTCATTTTAGAAAAATGTTGTTTAGATCTTGAATTATGATTAAAGTAAAAATAAAAATGAATGTATTTTCATCTATTCCATTACTTCTAAAATGAAAAAATTTATGCAAAAAAAATAAATTAACAGTTCCAATACAAAGTACAAATTGAATTTTTAATAATTTAAGAGCAAAGTGATTTTGAAGTAGACTAAAACTACAAAATGTGTATTACACATTCATAAATATATAGAAAACCAAGTACAATAGAATCTTACTAATCTGGCACTAGTATAAACCAGCTATTGAAAGATTACTGAAATTTAGGTGTAGAGTAAGTAAATAAAACATGTATGTCTTGTAGAAAAGGGCTGGCAGAATTACAATTTATAATTATATTATATTATATTTTTAATTGTGTTGGGATTGTCACCTGTGGACATTTTAAACTGTTTTGCATATTCGTGCAGAGGCATAGCCTCTAAAGAAAGGTTGTCTCTGCAATAGAAATAGTTGTTCCTGGTAATTGGACATGGCAAGCAAAATTGGACTCGTATCCATTTGTGATGTATTTTACTTTTTATTAAAAACATGTATTACATGCAAATTGCCATAACCTGTATTATTAAATCTTTTAATATACAGTAATTAATTACAGAAAACTTCATACAGTATTCTAAGGTTAAAGTGTACATTTATATGCTATTATGTATTTTGTATCAAAAAAGTTATTGCTTAGAAATACAGTTTTCAATATATGTTTGTCTCTTTGCAACTATCCTAGCCTTAAATACCTTTTCATAATCTTTGTAAAAGCATGGCTTCTTCAGCAGGAACTCTATTTTCTTATATCTAGATTTCACAATTATTAAAGCTTTTTAAGGCAACATCTGGTTTAATGATTATAGAACTTGGTGTATCAGTTTCACATACAGCTGAATGATCTTCACATATTTCATTATCTGTCATAGATTGATTATTCTCCTTAGTGTGTCTTGTCAACCAATCTCTCATTTCTTGTTTGCTTTTTTGAGGTGGTTGTCTTAATCTTCCATCAAATCAATAATGAATAAACTATCATTAGCATGTTATGTTAACATATCTATGTTTGGCCAGTTTCTTCCATTAAGACCTGATCTCACTGGAAAGAATAGAGTTCAAAGAATCAGAGAAAACTGCATTTTCAAATTTAATTTGTTAAGATCTAACTTAATGTCTCCAACTTTAGTGATTATGTCCAATAGAAGTTTCTTTTTGTAACAACTTTTTACCATTTGTATGACATTTTGATTATTAGTTGAAATAATGGTGTGCAGTTGAGTGGCAAAAACATTGCTTGAACAATACCATCACTAGATTTGAGATAAACTTCATTTGGATGGTCAGAGGTATTATCCAATACCAAGAGAGTCTTTTCAGGTAATTTATTAATTTTCATAAACATTCTACACCTGGAATGAACTCATAGAACATATCACTAAAATCTTCCATAATGACTGAACTTTTTGACTGATTTTTGTAGCATACTTGCAAGTAAAAAAGCTAGTATTTTTTAGCTGTAGCATTTTTAAAGCTCTAGGATTTTTAGCTTTACCAATGACTAGCAATTCAAACGTGTATTCTGGTTGCGTTGACATGAATGTGATTTAGTGTTGTGTGTTGCCACCTTTTCAAAATTGTTGACCCGGACAGAGTCAGAAATTTATAAAAATTGGCAACATTGTCTTGAACAGGTCATAACCATTTTTGAAATTTGTTTTGTGCCAGCCAATCTTTATTAAATTTACAAGTTTGCTTCCTTTTTTTTTAGGGCTTTCAATTTCTTGAGTTGTCATATTAAATAATTACAATAGAAATTATAAACTTGTAAACTGAAACTGTCACATTAGCTTTACAATAGGTTTGTTCTAACACAAGTCCCTAACTGGTTTGAATTTGAAACTATACCAGGCATGCGCAATTTCATTTTACAGCCAAGAACTGAACAATGCATATGCTAGTTTTAAACCAGTTAGGGACTTGTGTTGTAATAAACCTAATATTTGCAAATTAGAATTTTAAAAGTACATTTTCTGTCACTCAGCCTAGAGATAAGATGGAGATAACTTTGGGTGGGGGTGTGAAGTTAGTCTTTAGCCGTTAAAATAAAATAGCAAATGTTTTTATAAATTTAATTTGTTTTATCACAATTTCTACAAAAACCATACAAATTAATAATTAATCCGGACCATGAATTTAAAAACAGGCTTGTCCAGGTGAAAACTGGCCTGGTGGCAACACTAATGTGATTTTATCCTTGCTTACCTTCAGACCTGGGTCACTTTGGGCAGTAATCTCCAAAACAGTCCACAAAAGTCTCTTTCCAATGAATGTTTCTGGTGATATCAAAAAGATGAAAAAACTCCAAAAACAATGTATTTACTAAAATTAATACCAAAAAGATGTTTTACAAATATATAACATCCCAAAGCCCGATGTATTAATACCAAACCAAGTGACAGCCTTAATTAATCAAGCTTTTTTATGTAACAATTAATAATTAGAATAATTAGATGGCGCCGAACGTCTACCTCTAGTACCAAATTACTTAATTTCTAATTTTTAATTGTTACATAAAATATGCAACAATTATATAGCAGTATGCCCTAATAATAAATTAAAACACGAAAGCTATAAATAAAATATGTAAATGCTATATAATAAACTGAAAATTGCATTTACTGGTCACACACCGTCGACTTTGGCATTTTAAATATGGCCGACGGATCCGTGAGACTTATGCATGCTTCGTGATAAGTTCCTTTTTCATCTTAATCATCGATATTCCAATCTATTCTTAGACTTCGTTGCTTCCACAAACTTCTCGGATGCCATGGTTAATTAAGTTTAACAGAAAGGTTTTGCGTATTTTCAACAGCTGTCGTTACTTAACATAGATGTTTGATTTAATTATAACAGTTGCGAAATTTAACACATTGCTAATATGAGATTGTATTCTTTGTTCAGAAGCTTATTTTAAACTTCACTTTACATTTTGTTTAAATAAATTCAAATATCTGCAGATAAAAGGATATCAGACATATTATGCTTTAAGAATTTCGGAAAAGATATAACGCCGAACATTATGAAACTTTTTTTTTTAGTTTTTTTAATGTGTGTGGAGAAGGTGCTCCCAAACTTCCATGTCAAGTGTGGTTAAAAGTTCCATTCGGGAAATTTTGAACTAAAAGATACAAAACGTTAGGGGCGTCCAAAGCTGTTGATGCAGAAAAATTGCCAGAAGAAATTGTTAAAACCCGACAATTAACACACTATATATATATAAGTTATACATACGTACATACAGTACATACATACATACACTGCGCACGCAATTCGAACTCCGAAGCGAATTTTTGTCGAATTTAGCGTTCGAAGTACGCTGTATTTCGGGACAAGTAATATTAGAATTAATTGCAATAAATAAACATGTACTGTAAAATAAATGTGTTTAGATAATAAAAAATGAGTTTAGTAACGCGTAGACACGGGATATAGCCCAGCAGTTACCCAGAAATTATAACACCACAAAACTACAGTAAAGAATTAATTTTTTTTGTTACAATTAAACCAGTAAAGATTGAATGGAAGAAAGGGTAAAAATTTTATTAGACTGAAGGTTCAATACGATGTAGGCTAATCATTTACGATATAGCTGAAAATGTTCAACTTACAAGAGCTTAAAACTGTCATAAAAATCAAATACATCTTTGTTGTTTAATGTACTGGTAGAATTCAAATAACACATGCAATAATCTGTAGATTAGAATTAATTTACTAATATTGGCAAGTTAAATCATTATTCAGATTTAAAAGTTACAAAAGTATTATTAATTTTATATATATTTTTTATTATTATTAGAATGCAATTAAATTAATATTAAACAAATTGGCTTTATTGTATGATGTGATAGATATATTTTATTTTTAGTTTAATCATGAGAAATAACAGAGAAAACGAAATTATGTACAAAAGATCAAGAAAAATTATAAAAGTTAAAATTTGTTGTCCACTGTTATATAATTTTCATCTGTAGAAATAAACTAATTAAATTAATTTCGATTCATTAAGATTAATTGAATACAGATTCAGTTACCGTTCTGTATCTAGAGAAGTGAAAATGTTAATCTGGAATGTGAAAAGTTTGAGTACTATAAACATTTCTCCTAGGCACAAAACTTTAGACAGCCGTCTGTTTTATCTACACTTAATTCGGTACTTCTGGACTTCGAATTAATTGCGCACACTATAAGTACACCAGGAAGTTGCTCGACAGTGGCCAAGTGGGTAAATTCACTAAACCGTAGTAAGTTGGTCGCAGGTTTCTGCCCGACCAACGGGCTGGCCGTGCGGAGTTTTCCGGATTTTTTCACGTCTATTTCCTAAACAGGGGCTTGTTTCTCATAGAAAGTCTTCCTGGGAGGTACCGCCAGGAAGACTTGTGTTTCCTTATCCCATCAAACAAAACCCCGCTAAGTTAATTAAGGTAGCATTTCCCAAACAGCTTGGTAAAGTGGAGCCGTTAAGCAAGGATCATATTTTGCGGAGCACTCGCAATTCATTGGCATCTTTTCCTATAAATTTGTACAACTGAAAGAACGAATGAGGCCACCAGACTAATTTTTAAACTTATTTCATTGAATTATTAAATTAAAATATATATAATTGTTTACAACTGTTTATTAATAAACAATTATATACTGTATACTTTATTTTATATTTATCATTCAATGAAACATTAGTTGCACTGTACAAATGA